CTCACAGGGGCGTGAGTTTAGCGCGGGCCTGGTTCCAGTTCTGAGTGAAAATCTGAGGCTATAATCTGAGGCCTGGTTCCAGTCCTGAGTGAAAATCTGAGGCAATAAGATCACTCGAAATTCCGCTAGCTAGAAACCACTTGTACATACTGGTCCGCGAATTTCGGGAAATTAATTATCCACGCTATACTTGGACGGGGAATATTCCCTTCAAATCCCAGGTTTCCAGCTTTCTCAGTTCCCGAGTTATCCAAACTCCAGCCAGAAAATTTCACGGGGCCGTACGTGGCAAACACGCATGACGGGAGACTGAACTTGACAAATTTAAGTTGTAGATGGGTTGTGAATATTTCCTGGCAGAGTTCACGAGTGGGTAGGTGACGAGGTTACACATCGGCGAAGTTCGGGACATACAAGTGGAGCCCGCAGTTCACTCGTCGATGAGGCCCGTGCTCACCACAAATGGGCCTAAGTTCTCACGTGCGGACGACGCTCGAGTTGCGTGCGAATAGGGGCCTCAGTTTCCATGCGAATAAGGGGCGAATAAGCAGGCATGCGATTGAGGCCCAGGTTCATGTACGTGCAAGAGGGAGCTGAATGCAAACATATGAATGAGGAATGGTTGGGAGCAAGGCGTAAATTCACGGCTGAGGAGGATTGGAGGCAAATTTCAGCAAGATTCTGACAGTTTGCACCGTAAAATATCACCTTACACCTGAATACAATCTTTCCATAAAATATCACCTTACGCATGATGCCTAAATACAGTATTTCCGTAAAATATCACCTTACACATGACGATTGAGTACAGTCCAGTAAGATTTGAACTCCTCATACACACAAGTGAGGTTCGGCTCCACTGCTGCCAGAGGTATGGGCTCGTACGGAGATGAAATTTGGATGCAGGTCCGGTGGCGGGCCTGGATTCGCCCCGCGATCGGGCTTTGCGGGGTTACGTACACGTGAGGCCTGGATGCATTTGTCGGTAAGGCCGGATGCATATGCGCTGCCAAAGCATAAGAGGAGGACCCCACAGGCCGTTTGGGCCCTGTGGGCAGATGGAATTTGAAAATGTAGGAATTGAACCGGTACTGGGTGACATAACTAGAACGTGCATAAGGCGACGTATCATTACTGCTTAGGCTAATTTTCGCGTGCCTCCGTCTCTCACAGAAAGCAAATGTCCAAAACCACTAGGTTTTTGGCCGGAGATTTGTTTTATGTTGCAATAATAACTATTGTTATAATGTTCTGAAACTGTACGGTTTTCCAAATTTTAATGAACAAGTTTTCAACCCCCAAGCACATGCGTTTTTGTAAAAACCTTGCAGCTGATTAGTAAGAAAAAGACCCCACGGGCCATTTGGACCCTGTGGGCGGATGGAACTTGGAAATGTAGGGGCAGTACTGGGTGGCTCGAATTGGGACGTGCATAAGGCAACGTAGATCCTAAAAAGTATAAGTCTGATGGGCCTGGATGCATTAGGGCTAGTGGTTGTTGTCTAAGTTCTTGGGCATATGAGGCCAGAACGCATATGTAGGGCTCTCATCCCACCTCTCAGGACCCCCCTTCTCCCAGGACTCCCCACTGTTCCACATCCCAACCGTCTCCCTCCCCTATGAGCCCGTCCTGTATCCGCTTATGAACAATATGGTAGTAATATCAACGTTTAGGGCCTGGAAATACTTGTGAGCAAGTTCGCAGTTGCTTCTGCAGAGAAACCTTTATACTGTTTTCTTCGGATGACGAAAACACAGTTATGGAGCGGGCCTAGAAAGGCCTGAAAATTAAGTACATAGCATAGCATACCAGGGGAATCAGTGCAACAATGCATTTTACATTTGCTGCTAAGAATGTTCGCTGCTCTGCTGCTTGGTCCGTGCCAAAATTTATCGAAATGTTGTCTAATCCACAAGCTGTGAAATTTCTTATCACAAATATTACCTGCCCGCACTAAGCCTATATGGAAACTCGATTTAAATTTTTTTTTTTTTTTTGCGAAATCTTAGATGAATATGGAACATCCTCCTAAAATTTCATCTTTCTAATTTTTCTGGTTCCTGAATTGAAAACTCCGTAAATTCACCCGGCCATACATAGACATGCACACACACAAGCACGCACACACACACACACACACACACACACACACACACACACACACACAAACACACACACATTCACAACCACATGTAGGACTTGGGCAGTACGAATTTTGCACTACGGTTACCACACAAAACGCGTAAAAGGTCAAAACTCTGTCTACATGAGAGGTAGAGGCCTCCTCAGTCTGGAACACATCGGACAAAAGGATATATGTGTGCATGCCGGCAAAACAGGCCTCTTTTTGTAATTTTTCCGGGTACACTTGAAAGCAGGGACGTATCTGTGGATGAGCCAGGGCTGAGCAGGAATTATGTATGCAAAAGAGGGGAAGGGAACGTTGAGGGAACGGAAGAGCAAGGGAAACAGCAGATATGATGATCCTATATTTTTTCCTGAGGCATATGATGATTGTGGAATTTATTATTGAACTTTAGGCTGGAACGCACCAGGTTGGCGGTGCGATCATGCGTTTTTGCACTAAACTCGAAGCATACAGGTCGTTAACTACTTGAATGGTTCTTACTTCATACTTACATTGTGCGCTTACTAGCTTAAATCACTGTAAATTTTTGCAAGAAGGGAAGCGAACAATTTCCATCGAACGATCATTCTTTAAAAATGAGTTGACCGTCCAATGAGTAGTTTTCCCGCCAAAACTTTTTGAAGCCAGTACGTGAGAATCACACATACCTGGGAGCTGAATTCTGAAATCTTCACTTGCACAGGAGGCATTCCATTAAAATTTCAGCTTTCCAGCTTCTCTCTGGTTTCTGACTTAGCAATTTTTCCGCCGAAACCTTCACGTGCCTGTGCGCGGGGCCGAGACGTGCATAAGGATTGGCGTCGCGGTCCTCAGGGCGCTTGGCCAGAAAATCTACTGGTGAAATTTCAGCGCGGAAGCTTTCTTGGTTGCCGAGGTGAAAAACCCGGACAGACACGCGCGCACACACGCAAACACAGATACACACACACACGCGTACACATACGCACACGTACACACGTACACACACACACACACGTCACAATATGCTTTTTAGCATCTGCGTATATGTAAAAACGCCTAGAAGTCAACAGCACATTTAATGAATAGTGTATCTAGGTTTCAGCGTTATGAGGTTGTCTAAGATGGGCCTCACATATACCTTTTAAGAGGGCAACTGTTGCTGATTCCAGTTTTTTGGTAAAAAACCAATGCCTATGGTGAAAGGAGCCTTTTTTTGCAAATAACTGTGGACCAAGAGAGAGCCTCACTTTCTTATTTCTTCCCTCCTCCCACTCATTGTCACAGGGAGCGATGACCAGCGGGAGAAGGGGCGAAGGGAAGGAGTGGGAGAGAGAGATTAGGACTTCCGATGTAGTGACGAGCGAGTGGAGGGGAGGAGGAAAAAAAAAATCCCGAAAAAAAATCCCCCAAATCGCTCTTCTCTCTGCCCCTCTCCCTCCCCCGCTCCCTCCCACCACCACCAGGGGACTGTCCTAAATCCGTCTATGCTTCGACATGATTTATTAGATTTATTTCAGCAACGTGCTTTTTTTGGCGATATGTTAAAAAGCAGCGGAACAAGCTCGTCTGGTGGTCCACGGGTTTCAAACCATCGGTACAGCCTGCGAGTGGTCACCGCTCGAGGGCGACCCGTTGGGTTCCAGCATGGTCGTACATCCAAGGTAAATTTTGATGCAAGCACGGGTTGTTTTCGTTGTTTGATCAGCTGCTGTTCCGGCGTTGATACCGTCTCATTCTAAGCTCCGCATGTGATTTACAAAGATCCTTCAAAACCAAAGATTATGGATTACTGAAAATTTAGTTTCAAGCGCCACTTAAGTTCAAAGAAGGTACCATTTAGGTCCAGGGAAGTAGATCTTCGAAACATGTCCTGATTATTCATAGGTGGATCCAGAAAAGTCTCCTGGGAGGAAAGGGAGTAGGGCGGGGAGGAGGGGGGGGG